TAAATAGGTAATCTCCTAGTTAGGTTGCAGGTATGGCAGCTAGTGTAGAACCCAGGCGGACTACTTAAATTAGGTACTAAAAGTACACGTGTGGCTAGTTGTATCCTTGTGAAATTGATATAATATCTCATTTATCTGAATAAAGCTAAGTGCTGGGGACCTAAGTGGTCACCTTAATATTAAAAAAAAAAAAAAAAAAAAAAAAAAAAAAAGAAGTTAAGAATCTAGTTAAAGATAAAAATCTGTTTAGATTTAGAAATAGACTACTTGATATTGTTAAAGAATTGAAAATTTTTTTGCAAAATAAAGAAATAAATTTGGGGTTGTGTATACTTTTAAAAAGAATTAAAAAGGTTTAAATTAAGTTAGAGTATTAGAAAACAGAAGAGTAAAAAGACTAAGTGCTTTAAAAAGAGCTAGAAGAAGAAGAAAAGTTAAATATTGTATAAGATTGGTAGGCTAAAAATAAGTTCTAGTTAGTAAGAAAAGAGTTTGATATTAAGTCTGGTATAGAAGTCTGAACCAGATACAAATTTGTCACCTGGTCATCTATATAATATTGAAAATAAGTATCTGAATAAAAATAGCTTACATATTTAAAGTAGAAATATAAAGCTTTTTTTTTGTTTTTAACATTATAAATTTTTAGAGATCAATACTGAAATGGTTAATATAACAGATTTATCATATATATATATTATAGTTAATTACTATAACTTTATATTGAATGATTCATTTCATGATCAACTTTTAAACAAATCTAATTTTTATATGTATACAATATTTAACTACACTATCAAAGTAATATATAAGGAAGAGTAACAAAATTTTTTGAAAATTTTATCAAACCAGTAGTGCTAAACACTACTTGTTTACATATATGATCGTCATTTATTAAATTAACTATTTAATTATAATATAATCGGATTTGATCTTATAAATAACAATTTTTGAGTCCATCGATCCTTTTGTACTTGACTTTCTCTCTAGAACTAGAAATAGAAAAAGATTAGTGTGATTTATAATAAATAACTTGACAAATATTAACGATACAAACTCCCTTTATTTCCTTTGTTATTTGATACTGAAGATAGTCATAACAGTTTTGCTAATACCTGCAAACCCAAAGACTATTTTAATCATTTGAATATACATAAAACTCAATAGAGAACTGATATGAGAGAATTACAACATCTGAAAGTTGATGAACAACTTTATTTTAATGACACAGAATATCTTTTATTCTCCTTATTATTTGATATTGAGAATGATTATAGTAGTATTGTTGATACTTGTAAACCAAGTGATGATTTTAATCAGTCAAATATTCATGAAACTCAAAAAGACTTATTAATAGTTGTTGAGGAACCACCTTATTTGGATGTGTTAGAAGATAAATTTGATTAGTTAGAGACTTATAATGAAAGATTACAAGTAACAGATATAGAATTACCTTGCTTAAATAAACTACCAGAAGTCAAGAAAAATAGTGATAATGATAATACTGAGGAATCAGGATCTTTATATCCAGTTGCACAGAGAATAGACTTTAAGTGTTGGAAGAAACTCGATGAGTAACTATAAACTATAAAATTAAATAATTGTGTTGTTATTAATATGATAATTGGTAACTTTTTTTTTTTTTTCAAAACATCTTGACAATCACGGCTTGGAATACAGCTTTGCTTTTACAATTATACACAATGAAAAAGATAAAGAAGATAGACTTCCCTGATAACATGTTTATATGTATATAAAAGATCGAGTATTATTCTACGAAAAGAAGCTCATATAATTAAAGACCATAACAAAAGACATCATACAGGAAATTGTAAATTCTACATAAATATGTATTGCTAGAAGGTAGACAATTTGGTCTATATTACTAAGTTTGATGGTCAACATAACCAAGAGCTTGTTGAGAATATTGATATAGTTGCTTCTTGTTACCGTAACCTTTCTTCAAAAATTCGTGATGAAGTAAAAATCCTCGTGGCTTCTGGAGTACACGCTGGAGCTATTATTGAAGTCCTACAGCATAAAAACCCAACAAAGTATATCTATACTCATAACATTTATAATCTGGTTCAGGCTATTAGACATAAAAAAAGAGTTACTAGTGATACTAGTTCTATGTATATTGAGCTTATGAAGCAAAAGCAAGATAATCCAATGCTCTATATAGATGCACACTTTGAAGGCAAAGACAACCACCTTGTAAGTCTTTGCTGGATGAGGACAAGCCAACAACAATTATAGGCTTATTTCTCTGATATAATATTACTTGACACAACAGCTAAAACAAACAGATATTCAATGATTTTGTGTGTTGTTATTTTGATTGATAACTATAATCGATCACGACTAGGAGCTACTGCACTATTGTCTGATGAAACTAAGGATATATTTTCTTGGCTTTTTGGAAGCCTTAAAAAAGCAACAAGTGGATTAATTTCATCTCTACTTTATACAGACACTGATTCTGTAATGATAGCAGTGACAAAAATCACCTGGTCATCAACAAAACACTATTCTGTCTTTTTCACATTCGTAAAAACCTAGAAAAACATTTTTTTAGTAAGTTTTGTAGTGAAAAATGATGAAAATTTTTTGCAGCTTTTTGTTCTGTATGTAATAACCATGTTGAGAGAATTTTTAATGAGAGGTGTGCTACATTAGTGCAGTAATATACTGAAGCAGCTGATTACTTGCAGTATTAGCTATATCTATATAGAGAAGCATGGGCTCTATGCTTTACGCATCGTGCTTTTAACACGGGAGTTCAAAGCATGCAACGTGTTGAAGCCTACAATGGTATAATTAAAAGTAATGTGAATGGAATATCATCTTTTCTAGAACTTGATCATACTATTAAAAGGTTATTAGTAAAGGAAAGTCAGTTCGTAAATTTAAATGATGCCATTAGCAAGTTTTCAATAAGCTAAGAAAAAGGATATCATGATCAATATTTTAAAAAAATTGATGGAATGTGTTAATGTTTTTTAACACTAGCAATCATAAAACTTCAACAAAATGAGATGAACCGCAGTATACATTACTGGTGCAGCATAATTAGTTTAAATGAAGAAGCTACATAGCAGGTTAATATTAATGTTAAAAAATTGTAATTAAAATATAAGAAATACTTATCTTTTTTTTTTTAGACTACCAATACCAAATTACCTGATAATATGTTCTCTGAAAACCTTTTTAATACGAGCCTGATTGAGCTTGAAGATTTAATTATTGAAATTGGACTACCCAGAATTCATGAAATTTGGAGCATTTATTCTATAGACAAAAAATTAAAAAATTTTTTTGTTTTGTATGACAATGCCACATATCTTTGTACATGTTTGACACTTATTAATTGTGGTCTTGTGTGTTGTTATTTTTTCTTAACTATGCTTGTTTCAGCAAGGGTAAAGTTCCATATTGGTCTTATTTTTCAACGTTGGCATACTAATTTAATAGTAGATTTAACACTTGCAAACAAACCTACAATTGTATCAATTTTAAATGAGGATTACAGTACATTAGAAAACAATGAAAAATCGAATTTTTATATCTGGAAAGTCTTCATGGATGACATGATTTTATACAAGAAGCTTATCATGAATTTATGCTTAAACAGCAATGGGGAAAAGGATTTAGAATAATGAAAAAAGCACTTAACTTAGCTATTTCTACAGGCAGATTAGAAGAGCTTTACAAAATACATTCAAGACTTGTTAATTAAATGGAAAATAAAATTGCAAAAAATAAGGTCAAGCAATAGAACAAGGTGATAATTTAAGTAAATTTGCACATACTATCAGTAACCTGATTGACATCAAAATGAAAGGACAAAAATCAAAGAAGAAAAAGCTTTCAATGATATTATGAATGTTAAAGGTCAAAGAAAAAGAAGAAAAAGATCTGAAAATAGCGATAATGAAGATCTGATTGTTGAGTCTGAGGTTGATAAAACAATTTCTAAAAACACTGGTATGTATGTCTTAATATATATGTGTACTTATCTGCAGTTTTCTTTTCTGGTTTTCATTTCATACCGATACATATTAAGAGCAAATTGCATATATGCGCATATTCTTTTTTTATATAAAAGTTGAACCTAGTCAAAATCGTGAACATGAGGATAAATCAAGGCAATGTGTCATTTGTTATAAAAAAAGCCATAATGCACAAACTTGTGCAAATTGAAATCCCTAATATTATGTCAATATTGAATTATCTTATATTGTATTAAATATTAAAGCCTTGCAAGATAATAAATCAATTAATATAACAAACTTATAACTCTTTCCCGTAAATCCCTAGTACAAAAATTCTTAAAATTTCTAAAACATAAAAACACATTTTACATTTAATTCTATTAAGTAATCATACTTCCTAGCTTTAAATAAAATTGTTGCTTACACAATTTTATATATAACATCTAAGTTTGAAGCCGCTAGCTTTCGAACTCCTAAAGCTAAGTGTCTTGACGG